TGCTTACCTAATATCTAAAATTGAAAAGGCAAGAAATAGCATAAGTATATTACATAGAAATGTGAAGGTAAAGATGAGGAAAAACAACTAAAACTTAAAGGTGGCTATGTCTGAGGCACAGACTGGGTGAGTGAAAAAAGGGAAATGCTATTTTTTTCCTATTCTATTCGCTCTTTAGGTATGTATATGTATTACTTTGATTTTTAAAAAAACTTCAAAATAAAAGAGGTTTAGAGAGAGATCTGCAGCAGTTCCTCCTGCTTCCAGGCTTCAGCAGAGTCCTTACCACACCTGCATGTGAGGGAACCACCCGAGGCTGGGGAAAGAACCACCCGAAAGAAGCAGGCAGAACAATTTTCAGAAATCACAGAGGGTAGGCATCAGTTGATATTACCACCCACCAGCCTAAATGAAAAAACTGTAAACAGGGATATCAGATATTCAGAACGTTACTGCCTAAGTATCTTTCCGAATGATTAGAAGAATTCTAATTCCCTTCAGTCAAGGACTAATTTATAAGGGAAAAATTAGTCCTAGACTGAAGAGTGTTTGGTCCTACATAAAGCACTTTAAAAGGAAGCCTTAGAAGGTCAAACTGTTTCCAAGCGACTTAATTTTCTCCCAAAACAAAGCTCAAGGATATTTAATAAAGTCTCTAGCATCTAATAATTCACAATGTCTGGCATCCAATAAAAAGTATCAGGCATATAAACAAGAAGGAAAATGTGACTCATGAGGAGAAAAATTAATCAAAATGACCCAGATATGACAAAGATGATTTATAAACAGGAACATTAAAAACAGTTATATTTTACATGTTCAAGAAGGTAGAGGAAAACATTAGCACATTAAGGACAGGTGTGAGAAGTATAAGGAAACCTAAATTAAATTATCAAGATGAAAAATACAATATTTGAGGAAAAAAATACTAGATGATATTAATAGTAGATTAGATAGGGCAGAAGTATTAGTGATATATGAGCAACAGAAACTATCCAAAATAAAATACAGAAGAAACATTGAATCAAAAGAACAGATCGCCCAGGTGCGGTGGCTCATGCCTGTAATCCCAGCACTTTGGGAGGCTGGGGTGGGTGCATCTCTTGAGGTCAGGAGTTCAAGACCAACCTGGCTGACGTGGTGAAACCCTGTCTCTACTAAAAATATAAAATAACCAGGTATGGTGGGGGACACCTGTAATCCCAGCTACTCAGGAGGTGGAGGCGGGAGAATCGCTTGAACCCAGGAGGTGGAGGCTGCAGTGAGCCAAGACTGTGCCACTGCACTCCAGCCTCGGTGACAGAGCGAGACTGTCTCAAAAAAACAAACAAACAAACAAAAAAAACCAACAAAGCATCAATAAGCTGTGAGACAATTTCAAGCAACCAAATATATCTGTAGTGAAATCCCTGATTTAAAAAAAGGAGAGAAAACAGTTTAAATGGCAATTTTCCTCAAATTTTATTAAAACAATAACCTACAGATCCAAGAAGCTAACCAAACCCCACACAGGGAATTGTGAATAAATCTACAAGGCATATCATAATCAAATTGTTTACTATCAGTGATAAAATCTTAGAAGCAGCCAGAGAAAACTAGATTATGTACAGAGCCACAAAGGTAAGAATGAGAGCAGACTTCTGGTTGGAAACAATGCTAGACAGAAGGCAGTGCACTTTAATGGAAAGAAAAAACCCTGACAATCTATAATTCTATGCCCAGTGAAAATATCTTTCAGAAATTTAAGGTGAAATTAAGACTTTTTCAGGCATACAAAAGCTGGAAGGATTCATTACTCTTATCTCCTTCAGACAGAAGGAAAATGATACCAGATGAAAAATCTAGATCTACGCAAAAGAATGAAGAGCACCAGAAATGATAATTACATGGTTAAATACAAAAACTTTCCCCCCTTTACTATTTAAATCTCTTAAGATAATTGATTATTCCTAGCTGCCGTGCCACAAACCTGTAGTCCCAGCTCCTCAAGAGGCTGAGCGGGGAGAACCCCTTGAGCCTACGAGTTTAAGGCCAGCCTCGGCAACATGGGGAGGCTCTTTCTATAATAGCCATTGACTGTTGAAAGCAAAAATAACAATATATGGGAATGCACTACAATATGTAGATGTAAAATGTGTGACAAAAATAGAACAAGGACTGGGAAGGGGTAAAGGAAGTATACTGCTGAGTAAATAAGTTAAATATGTATGCGATAAACTCTATACTGCTGAGTATGCTGTGGTAAGTTAAAGACGTATGCTATAAACTCTAAATTTAATAAGCCAACATAGAAAGATAAAATGGAATCAGAAGAAAATGTGTAATCTAAAAGAAAGTAGAATAAGAGGAAAAGGGGAATAAAGAATAGAATAAAAAAAAAAGAATAGTAAGATAATCGATTTATACCAATTATATCAACAATAATCGCATTAGGTTGGGCGTGGTGGCTCACACCTATAATCTCAGCACTTTAGGAGGCCAAGGTGGGTGGGTCCCTTGAGGTCAGGAGTTCAAGATCCACCTGGACAACATGGTGAAACCCCATCTCTGCTAGAACTACAAATATTAGTGGGGCATGGTGACGCTTGCCTGTAATCCCAGCTATTTGGGGGGCTGAGGCAGGAGAATCGCTTGAACCCGGGAGGCAGAGGTTGCAGCTGAGATCACGCCACTGCGCTACAGCCTCGGCAACAAAGCAAGACTCTGTCTCAAAAAAAAAAAAAAGAAAAAGAAAAAGAAAAAGAAAGAAAGAAAGAAAAAAAAACAAAACAATAATCACATTAAATATAAATGGTCTCAACTAAGCACCTCAATTAAAAAGCAGATATTGCCAGATTGGATGAAAAAGCAAGATACAACTATATGCTACCTATAAGAAATATACTTTAAATATAAAAATACAAATAAGCACAAAAAGAATATGGAAGAAGATATGCCATGTTAATAATAAAAGAAAGCTGAGATGGCTATATTACTCAAAGTAGACTGCAGTGTAAAGAATATTATTAAGAATAAAGGTCATTACATAATGATAAAAGGTCAATTTTATCATATGTTCTCTGACAACAATGTAATTAAATTAGAAATCAATAACATGAGATTATCTGAAAAATTTCCAAATGCTTGGGGAAAAAATACACACATCTAAGTAACCCATGGGTCAAATAAGTAATCAAAAGGAAAATCAGGAAGTATTTTGAACTGAATGAAAATAAAAACAAGGCATATCAAAATTTACTTCAATAAATTTAACAATTTAAACAAAAATGGACAAATTCTTATAAAGACACAAACTACCAAAACTCACATGAGAAGAAGTAGATAATGTGAATAGTCCTGTATCTATTTGCAAAACTGAATTTATAGTTTAAGCTCTTCCTATAAAGAAAACCTCAGACTCAAATGGTTTCACTGGCAAATTCCACTAAATATTTAAAGAAAGAAATAATATTAATTCTATACAAACGCTTCCAGAAAACTAAAGAGAGAGAGAGAGGAAAAAAAACCACTTTATAACTCATTCTATGAGGCCAGCATTCCCTTAACACTAAAGCCAGATAAAGACATTATAAAAAAAAGAAAAACTACCTACTAACAGCTCTAATGAACATAGATGCAAAAGTTCTTAACAAAATTTTAGCAAATCAAATCCAACTATATATAAAAAGAGTAATATGAATGAGTGGCATTTATCCTGGGAATACAAAGTAAACATTCAAAAATTAATCAATGTAATTCTTATTCTATCAACAGAGGACAAAGAATATACATAATCTCATTATATGCAGCAAAAGCATTTGACAATATCACCATCCATTCATGATTTAGAAAAAGAGAAAAACTTTAAGCAAAATAGGAATTGAAGGTAACCTCCTCAACCTGATAAGGAGCAGCTATAAAAAACCTTAAGCAAACATCATACTCAACAGTAAAATAATAAATGCTTTCCCCTGGAGTCCACTCTCAGCATTCCTATTCAACATCATACTGAAGGTAACAGCCAGGCAATAAGGCAAGAAAAAGAAATAAAAGTCATCCAGACTAGAAAGAAAAAAAAATCTCTATTCGCAGATAACATGACTCATCTATGTGCTTCCCAAAAAATTTACAAATAAATTATCGGAACTAACAAGATATAAATTTCTTGAGGTCACAAGCTGGAAGTTCAACATACAAATATCAAATATATTTCTATATACAAGCAATGAAGAAAAGTGAAATTTTAAAACACAAAATACATGAAACAGTGTAAATCTAACAAAATACGTAGATCTCTATGCTAAAAGCTGTAAAACACTGCTGAAAGCACTCAAAGAGCACCTGACAAATGGTGAGATACCCCATGTGTATGGATTAGAAGATAATACCATTAAGCTATCAATTCCACACTTCCCAGCTACCATATAGAGTCAGTGTAATCCCTATCAAAATTCTAAGACATTTTATTGAAAATGACAAAGTGATTCTAAAATTTATATATAAAAGCTAAGAAACTAGAATAATCGAAACAATTTTTGGAAAAGAACAAAGCTGAAGACTCCCACTAACTGATCTCAAGATTTTCTGTAAAGCTACTTGCATCACCACAATGTGGTAGTAGTAAAAGGACAGACACAGAGTAACATAACAAAACAGAGAGGTCAGAGACACACACACCGCAAATTTATTTTCCACAAATATGTAAATCAATTTAATTCAGAAAAGAGTCTTCAGCAAGTGGTATTAGAACTGCAAAAAAAAAAAAAAAAAAAAAGTACAAATTGATCCATTCTTTATACCAAAATAAATATTAACTTTAAATGGATCACAGACCTAAATGTAAAATCCCAACCTATAAAACTTCTGCAAGGAAACATAAGAGAAATCTTTTAAACCTTGTGCCAGTAAAGATTTCTTAGGTAAGACACCAAAAGCGCAATCCATAGAAGCAAAAATTGGATAAACTGGACTTTTTACCATAATGAAAAAGATAATGTTTTTTGAAAGACAATGTTACAAGAGTCTACAGCCGTATCACCCTGAACACGCCTGATCGCGTCTAATCTCAGAAGCTAAGCAGGGTCGGGCCTGGTTAGTACTTGGGTGGGAGACCACCTGGGAATACCAGGTGCTGTAGGCTTTAAAAAAAAAAAAAGATAATGTTACAAAAATGAAAAAACAAACTATAGACCAGAATTAAATACTGTAAGTCACATACCTGATAAGGGACTTATATCCAGAATATATAAAGAACTCAAAACTCAATAACAAGAAAACAAACAACCTAATAAAAGAAATGGGCAAAAAACATGAACTATCACATTATCAAAGATATATGAATGGCAAATAAGCATCTGGAAAAAATGCTGAACACCATTAATTGTTAGAGAAATGCAAATTAAAACCATAATGATATACCACTACACACCTATCAGAATAGCTAAAATATCATTTAAATTTTAAACTTGAAAATACAAAGTGCTGAAAAGAAGGCAGAAAAATTGGAACACATATATTGATGGTGGGAATGCAAAATGGTACAACCACTTTGCAGAATAGTTTTGCAATGATTTATAAAGTTAGACCCAGAGAGTTCCATAAAAACCAGTAATCCCAATTCAAGTTATTTATCCAAGAGAAATGAAAACATGTTATCACAAAAATCTAGACATGAATACTTAGAATGACTTTATTTTTAATCATCCCAGACTGGAAACCAACCAAATGTCACTCAACTGGAGAATGGATAAGCAAACTATGGCACATCTGGACGATGGAATAATACTCAGCAATATAAAGAAACAAACCACTGATACACATAACAAGCTGAATGAATCTCAGGTATATTATGTGAAGAGAAAGAAGCCACACTCAAAGATTGCAAACCATATGATTCTATTTATGAGACATTCTAGAGAAGGTAAAACTATAGAGACAAAAAACCAGATCAGAAGTTCGCAGAACCTTGCGGTAGGAGAGGGGAGATTGTTGTGGGTGATGGAACTATCACGTATCTAAACTGTAGTGGTTGTGTGCCCACTGCTTTTCAAAACATTTAGAATTCAAAGATGGAAACAATAAACACTGGAGACTCCAAAAGTGGGGAGGGAGGGAAGCCAGGTCTGAAGGGCTACCTATCAGGTACCATGTTCACCACTTGGGCAGCAGGATCATTAGAACCCCAAAACTCAGCATCACATAACATGCCCATGTAACAAGCCTGTGCGTGTACCCTCTGCATTAAAAAACAACAGTATTACCATATACTAAAAAGGGAAACTTTGTCATATGTAAATTACATCTTAAAAATGGAAAAATAACTGCCCCTAAGTAGCAGACTGGGAAGAATGAAAAAAAAAAAGAAGAAACTGCTAAATTTTAAAGTTAATTCTATCTGATCTTTGTATTTTCATGTACCATTTTTTATTGCAGTAAAAAACACATAACAAAATTTACCATACTAACCATTTTTAAATGCACAGTTCAGTAGTGTTAAGCATATTGTTATTACTGTAAAACAGATCTTCAGAACTTTTTTATCTGCAGATCCGACGCTATCCATTAAATAACTTCCCATTTCTCCCTTCTCCTGCCCTTGGTACCTGCCACTGTAATTTCTGTTTTTATGAATTTGGCTACTTTAGCTACCTATTCTTTTTTAATTTTTTTAAAATAGAGACAGGGTCTTGCCATGTTGCCCAGGCTTATCTCGAGCTCCTGGGCTCAGGCAATCCTCTCACCTTGGTCTTCCAAAGTGTTGAGATTATAGGCATGAGCCACCACGCTCAGCCTACATGTAGTATTTTGACTTAAAGCATTTTAAACTAAAAGAAACAAGGGAATAAAAACTATTTTAAAAGATGCAAGGACTTAAATATATTCATTGAAGAGACCTAAAAATGCCTATTTTGTAACTAATTGTTCTATCATTACAAAAATTGCATTACTAGGCTTAAATTTTTTAACTATAAATTTGCTTTGTTCTTAGAACTGTTGTTTGTTGGTGATTAATCATTCCTAAATCCCATATTAGTGTTAAAAGATTTGTAAAAATTAAATACTTGCCTTAAGTGTAAGAATTTTAGAAGTTCTATCAAAATGTTAATAAATAGTCTTTTATTTATTTATATACACCTATATATAGCATATGCATTTACCCTCTGTAAATTATTTTTTCTGTATTTGTCTCTATCTAAACATAATTACTTTTAAATTGTTACAATTCAAGAAACAATTTCTAGTTTTCCCATAGCTGTCTTCACCTTATTTAACATAACTCCTAATTCCAAAAGAATATCCATAATGCTAAGAAGAAAAAGAAAGAAGAACCAATGCCTTTTTTTTTTTTTTTTTTTTTTAGATGGTAAGGGAGACTTTATTTAAGAGGAGCTACTGCAATGGGAGAGAGATGGGGCTCAACTCCCCTCAGTGCCCTTAGGCAACAGGGCTCAAATGGTTAACATTCTTATTTTACTTTTTATCTTCATGAAAATAATAAGCTTTTCAAACCCAAATTTTTTCATAAATTACCACTTCTGCTTAATAGTGGTAGATTATGAAAATCTGGAGCCACAGACAAAAAAGGAATCACAGATTTAGAAGCCAAATGATATTCTATATAAAACATCTGAAGAAGTGAAAAGTTGTCCTGATTATGATTTTCTATTTCGAGAACCTCATGCAAGTGAGGTTCTTGCATGAAGTGAAAAATGAATATTATTTCTTTTTTGCTTTTGCACAGCTATGAAAAATAGATGCTTTGAGCTCTTTTTAAAAATAACTAGTTACTTTAAGCTAATTTTCCTGTTAAATTCCAGAAAAACAACGATAAGCGGTCCTGAAGGAAGAGCCGGTAGGAACTGGACTAATGGACTAGCCATTTTGTCACGCATCCAGAGCCACTTAGGGCCATTAGAGGCAGTCTCTCGGTGACCCAAAACAATGAGATGAAGCTCAATTACATAGTTGTATTTACAAAGGTAAAGATAAATGTAACGATATTACCAAAATACAGAACATCTAATGTGTAGTACAGGCCTAGGTGAGCACTAACATATTGGCAACATTGACTCTGTGTGCTGGGAACACAGCATGCTTTTAATAAATACCTCTGCTTCCGTCAAGGAACATATTTCTATATTATGGCCTCCATGGACAGCAGTTCTGTGACATAAATGGGGTCTGAGGAGTTCTTTAACCCTCTGATCTATTCAGAATTTTAAAGCAATATGGACCTTGAAAACCATTTAATTTCCTTATTCTGTAGGTCTAGAAATGGAGGCTCAAAGGCATTAGGTGCCTTGTCCAGGGTTTACCTAATCAACTGTTGGATGGAGCATAGAACCAAGTGCTCATTCAATATAGTGTGCCCTAGAAGTACAGACCAGAAATTCTAGATTTTGTGTGTGTGTGTGTGTGTGTGTGTGTGCACTCGCACTTGTGTATGAGATGTCAGAGCTGGAAGAGTAAAGGGACCATAAAGTGAAATGCCCTTCTGCTGATCTCAGTGGAGCCACAGTCCTTATCGAAAGCCACCCATTTTACAGATTAAGAAACCAGCTTGGGGACTGTGGAAACCAAAGCCAGGGACCCGTGCTGCATGTGAGTCAGGCAGCCTGGGTGCAGGGTTTCTGGGCCTAGGCTAGAGTGGACATGGTGAACTCTCGGTGAGAACGGGCTCTCCACAGCTTCCTTTCTGAGGCTGGGCAGGCTGACAGGGGCACTCAGATCAGTCCCAGTGCCAGTGAGGTCTACAGTTTGAGAAGGTGCTCTCCAGGCACTGGGACAAAGTCCCAGCAGAGGAGGGGGCTCACCACAGACACAGAGCCACACCTGCTGACAGACACAGTACTTAGTGAATGTGCCTAAGGAAGACTTTCAAATTGCGTTTTCATTAGCCCTGGCAGTTCCTTGCAAAGCCCTCAAGAGCTGCGAGAAGAGGAGTTACAGAAAGTCCAAGTGGATCCAAGGAAATGATGATTACTGGGGAAGAAGGCCGGCAGGCTGTGTTCCTGAGGCTTGTGGCCAGGAGTAGGAGAAATGGCTTTAGCAGCACATCACTTTAAGACTTCTGTGGTGTCTCAGTATACCCCAAGGATTTTTACTCCTAGGTCATGACCTTGAATCTCCTTCCACATCATCTCCTTAGTGTGATTCTGACATTGCCACATTCTCCTTTATCCACGAGTAAGGGCAAGAAGCCAATATAATGAAAATAATAAAGTGCTGAGTAGGGACAATGAGGTAAGAAATAAAAATGTAAAGTGATAATGAGGGTCACTTTTTAGCATTTAAATCTGCTGCCAACTACTGTAAAAGAAATGGTCAATATAATACATCTTAGCTAGAAAGATATAAACTAGAATTTTACAAATTTTCTATACATTAGCCTTTGAGGCATTTCTTTATTGATTTGCTCGCATTTATTTAACAATGAGCACACACGAAAGGCCAGGAACTTTAGGCTTGGCACCATAGTTATCAAGATGAGTAAGACACAATCCTTGCTTTTAGTGACTTGGGGGCAGTTGCAAGGGGCAAGGGAAGAAAGACATATGATATTTGGTATAATTTGAGTGTATATAAAAAATGATGGCTAACAGATAGCAGCCTGGGGGTGTTTCTGAGGGCAGAAGACTTATCCCCTGGGTGTTGAAAAACAAATAGGAGCTGCCCAGTTAGAGTACAGGGCACAAAGAGAATGAGAACACTCCATGAAAAAGTAAGGACCAGGCAAAAGCCGGGCTCGTGAAGCGGCATGCTGAGTTTGGACACCTCTCAGGAGTTGAGTGTGGCTAGGGAATAGGAAGTTGGTGTTTAGTAGTGGGTGATATAGAGGGAGGCGGTAAAAGGAAAAAAGGTTAAGACAGGCTGGAGCCTCAAGGGCCATATGATGGAGAATGGACTTTAGTCTGAGGGCAACGGGGGTCCACACACCGAGTTTAAAGCAGGCAAATGATGCAACGGGATCTGTGTTTTAACAATGTCACTCTGACCACAATGTACAAGACTACAGGAGGTGTAACTGCGGGTAAAAGTAAGGAAGTAATGAGAGCCAAAACCCAGGAGCAAAGGGGAGGCAGAGAGAAAAGTGGGATGAGGACATAGAACTGACAGAATTGGCTTGTGTGAGGTGAGGGA